TTTATTCATTTTGTTGGTGCTATAGAAGTCCCTCCTGGGCTAAGACCGGCCAAGGCTGTGGACGACCCGGAAAAGCCGATCGTTCCAAGATTGGAAGAACAACAAGAGGGGGTGGCAGAACAGCATGAACAAGTTGGGAAGATTTTTTAGCTTTTCTGAGTTAAATGTTCCCTACGCAGTACTTGTAGTGAAGTAAAATAGAAATTCCAGCCTATTTAGGACTGAAGAATTAAGGAAAATCTTTCGACCCCAAGATCGGGCAGGCTTCGACCGCTAGATATGCTGTTCAAAAATAGTACATTAGGATGAAGAAAGTAATAAATCCGGCCTGATTTTCTTGCATTCTTTCCGATTTTATAGTAAGATTTATGGGCGGGAGCTCACTTACAAATTAGTTAGCTCCTATGACCTTCTCATTAATCTAACAGTGGAAAGGGAACAATGCTTTTCCTGCTATCTTATTTTATCACCAAAATATTCTTTCCACACGGGAAGTTGTTAAATTAGTCAAGTTTAAAAGCTTCAAAAAATAATTTCAAGTCGAAAAAAGGTTCCCTTTATACAGTGCGTCCGTAAATTATACGACCACCTGCATTTTTTATAATATCTTATCTTTGATATGATATTTTCACTTCTTTTCTTTTTTATATTAATTAATTATGTATTCAGAACTTGTTAGCAAAATTTCATTTAAATATTATGAACCATCTCTCAGAAAATTAAATTTAATTAAAAGTAGTTGATTTCAAAGCGTCCGTAAATTATACGACCACCCTGGATAATTCTGTATTAGATAATAGGAAAAATCTACAAAAAATTTTCAGAACATATCTATCAGTATACATAAGAAATATAAAAGAAACTAAGTTGAAATATAATCCCTTCATCGAGATCTCAAAATCCGAAAATCAACGGAAAATCGAGGTGAAGGTCTTTAAAAAATATTTTCGACCCCTTATGGACTAAATTAAATTTTGATTTTATACTTTTCTGAAAGCCCTTTAAATTTGCTATAAGAAATCCTTATTGTTAATAAATCGAAAAATTTTACTTGGGAGATATTCAGGGTTAAATTCAATGGACATGAAAATCATTAAATCTTCCCCATGAAATGCCTTTTCTTAGCAACTTAGAAATTTAATGAAATACAACTTAATGAAAAAAATTTTCTGTAAAATAAAAATTGCAGGTATTATAGCAAATTTAAAGGGCTTTCAGAAAAGTATATTATATATATTACTTCTTGTAGTGTGAAGGGAACATAAATTTTCCTATTAATAAATTTTTATTTTTTCTCATAGCAATCTGCTAAAGAAACAAGAAATTCACAATTAGAAGATTCAGAGAAGGATGAAGAAAAAGTTGTTTTTGAAATAAAATATAAGTAAAAAATACGTAAATTTTAGAAAACAAAGGGCAACGACAACAAACCTTTAATATTTCAAAAGAAAGGAAAAGAAAATAAGAAAAAAGTAAATTCATCGCCGACAGTTCAAGGGACTGGTACACCTGTTGTTCAGCAAGTTATAAGGGTACCAGTTTTAATTTAGACTCTTTAATTTAAAAAAACAAAATGTTCCCTTCGGACTACCTATAATGTGAAGAGAACAAAAAGTGTTGTTTACACTCACTACCAATAAATAGTTAGGGTTGGTAGTTCCGAATAGTTCCGGATATCTGAAGAATTCCTATGAACCGCTTAGAGAAAAAAACCTTCTGATATCATAAAAAATAAAAAACATTTTTTAATAAGAATTAAAAACGAAAATTTAAGCCAAATCAAGAGGAGCAGGAAGGAAACAAAGGCCAACTATCCACAAAATTTCCAGTTCGGACGGTGATATTTTAAAATACTATGTAAAGTGACAATTTTATTTAGATACCTCCGCCAGCCGGAAAAGATTACGGAGTAAATACACTGCTACAAACAAATCTGGTCGACTCCAAGGGACGTGTTCTTAAAGGAGTAAGTAATTAAGATTGAGTAGGATTGATAAGTCTCACGACTTTTTTTGATAATACTGTAATAGATAATACTGTACTATTTGAATGAAATATAGAGCCTACATTCGCCCCCCTTATACTTTTTCCCGTGCCCGCTCAAAGGATAGATGAATCAAAGGATAGATACGGCTAAAATCGATCAAAGGATAGACGCGGCCAAAATCTGCTAAAGGATAGATAAGGGAAAAAACGATTAAAGGATAGATGCATCAAAGGATAGATGCGCCAAAGGATAGATAGGGGTAAAATCCATTAAAGTATAGACACGTCTAAAATTGGGTAAAACATAGATAAAGTTTGGAGTCCAGTTGAGTACCAACTGTTGAGTGCCTGATCTTTGTTTGTTTTTTCTGATCTTTGTTCTGAGTTCATGTTTCTGTTCTGATTTTTATTTTATTCGTACTTTAGTATATTCGCGGAAAAAAGTTTTTGCCGCTGCGGAGGAAGCCGGGCATGTCGAGCGGAACGACGGCAGCCGCTTCGCTACGGTCGCCGCGAGCGAAGCGAGCACGACCGCAGCGAAGCACGGCCATCGTGTAGCGAAGACCATGCCCGGCCTACCCTCCGTAGCAGCACAAAAACAGTTTTTCCAGGGAAGATTCAGATTGTTAAATATTTTTGTCCAGACTCAAACGACCTATTCAGCTGTCTATCCTTTGATCGCTTTTGGCTGTATCTATCCTTTAGCGCATCTATCCTTTGATGCATCTATCCTTTGATAGTTTTTGGGCGTATCTATCCTTTAGTGCATCTATCCTTTAATTCATCTATCCTTTGTAGGGGAGCCCTTTTTCCTAACTACCTTTTTTTCTACTCACCCTACCTTATGTCGCTCACCCTATCTCCACCCCAACACCACATACGTCCGTCTCCCTCTAGCTCATGTCCCCTTCACACTACCTCCTATTTTCCCAACTTTCCTTCTGTTCTCCTCACACTACCTTAGGCCATATTCTCGAAAAATTTAATTTTCTACAGGTCAGTTCTGTTCCTATACTCGTTCCAGATGTACGTAACGCAAAATCAAGGTAGCCAAAAATTCTTGACAATAAATTTAATAATTTTATCCAGTCGTGCCTCTGCAAGCCGTGTAGAAAGTGAAGCAGAAAAGCCAGTACAAATAAAATTCAGTGGATAAACCGAGACTACTTTAATTAATTTTAATTGTTTAATTTTAATTTATAAAAATATATAAATTTATACAAAATTAAATTAAGTATATAATCGCATTATCGATGTTTTTGGTGAAAATTTACTTGAAGGGTTACTTGGAACAAAATTTAGACTGATAGAAAATATTTAATAGAAAATTGCGTATATTGAGATGTCAGAAAATACAAATTCAATAGAAGGTATACTGTATTCTCTCTATTTGAAATTGTCTAAAATTCTATCATTTAAAGGCCCTTAGATTTGCTTCCCTCTTTATTTTATTCTGAAGGAAACATAAGGTAGCTAAATCGGGTATAATAATCTATATTTCACCTTAAGCTAATCCAAAAGGATATTTAGGCGGCTGGAAGCAAACTCAGCATCTTAAGTTGATCAGTGCTATTAATTATACCATGCGCGAGGTAGGGTGAAGGGAACATAAGGTAGAGTGAAAAGAACATAGGGTGGATGGTAGCTAATTCAAGGAAAATTCAAGGAAGAATGAAGGAATCCAGAATTAAATAGAGAGTATACAGTACTTACTTCAGTAAATATAAAAAGATTATTTTTATAATCAAGTAAGGAGGACATGAAGATTAGATTAAAATTTAATAAAAAAATAATGTTAATAATTATATTAGCTATTTTTAAGAATAAAAGGATAAGTTTGATAAAGAATTCTTCAAGTTTTATAAAGTTTAATTAATGTGAAAATAGCGTATAAAAATAATAGAGACAAAGTTGGACAGAGAAGGCAAACTTGAAAATTAAAAATAAACTTAAAAAAAATAATAAACTTTAAAGATTAAACTTAAAAAAGGCAAGTTTGTAAAAATACTTAGGAATGTTTTTCTTTAAGTTTGCTGATTTATTTTCTTCCTCCCCTTCTTTTATATTTTAGTTACAACTTGTTGTTCCTCTCTCAGTAAAAGCAATCTTCGAATTTTTAATGAAGCCTGTTCTGCTTCTTGTCGGACACTTTTGTTGTAGTCACTGCGAGAGAGAAAATCGAGACAAGTTAGGGAATTCTCTGCCTGTAAATTTTTTGAAAAAATTTTCAAAAAAATTAAAAAAACGTTGACGGGACTCGAATTTTTCGAGATGAATTCGACCCCTAAAAATTTTAAAAATCACCACTTAATCCCACGATATTAGCCCAAATCCCTTTATATTCACTTTGACCACTTGAAATTTCCCGACAACACTCAAGGTCCACCTTAAGTCCGCCTCTTACATTTTCAGCGCCGCAGGCGAACATTTTGGGATTTTTAGAAGGCCAAGGAGCCGGATCTCTTAATTTTTCTGACGATGCAGGCGAAAATTTTGAAAATTACGGAAGGAAATGCAATAATAAATTAGACAAAATGAAATCCTGAATCATGAAAATTATTCAGGACGGATCCTGTATCAGGATTGGGTTTTAAAAGTTCGAACAAAACAGGATCCAGCAGAATTAATCCTGAAAATCCTGGAATCCTTACAATCCTGAAAACTGAAAAAAGGCAGGATTTCGGACAGGATCCTGAAAAATCCTGTGCAGGATCCTGTCCTGTGTCAATCTCTACTGAAAACAAAGGTGTGTTTTCTAAGGAAAAAGACTTTTTAATATGCAAAATAGGGAAGGTCTAAGTTAGTTCTTTTTAGTTGAAATAATTGTGTTCTCTATCAAAATTTACATAGCGACACTTTAAAAATTATTAAATAAATAGGGTTATATATACAATTTGGTTTTGATCAGAGATGTGGATGTGGTGTGTCGGACACACATGCGGAGGCTCTGGCCAGCTTCAGACGAGACTAGCGAGTTGACTATATAAAAAACATCTTATAGTATGCGAAGCATGCTATAGGATAGGTGCACGAGGCGGGGGCCGGCCCAGGAGGAAAAGTCGGCTTTGCTGACACACATACGTGCACCTAGCTGTGGAGGTGTGCGGGGCATTAAAATACGCACAGTGGAGGTGGATGGAGTAGATCAATTCAGTTATCGGTCTGTGTAATGCTGATTCAAAGCCGGTGATGCAGCCACATCCCCAAATTTTTTCTAAAATTAAAAAAAAAATTACCCCAAGAATAGCCAAAGCACGGCAAGCCCCTCTCCTACTCGCATCATTTTCATGTTCCAATAAACACATGAAACAAGCAGATAAATCAAGAGCTAATTCTGGCGATGCTTTGCGTAAATATTTTTCTTTAAATTGAAAATTTATTTTGGAATTTTCAATAAACTTTTACCTATAGGAGAATAAAGTTCTTGATGTTGCTCAGCCAAAACAAGCCCAATATGTCTTAAACTTTCTAGTGGGGGAACAACAGGAACATTCCTAAGACGTCCCATTACATCTCTAATAGCACTGGGTAAGCCTGATTGGAGGTTGGCAGTAATCCAGGCTAGAAATTTAAGAAAAAAATATTTTTAATAATCTTTGACTCTATGAATATTGAAACAAGAGAAAGAATCTCTGATAATCTGCTGTGTTTTGGGTATTTTTTGGCTTCGGCGACGGCTCCGGGCCTTTCAAATTCTTAGCTCCAGCTCCGACTCCGGGGGTTTCAAAATCCTAGCTCCGGATCTGCCAAAGTCATAACATCACTGTTGATAATCCTAAGTAAGGAGGTTTCTTCTAGTTGAGGATTTCCTTATAAGCCTCCTTTCATAGAAGCCTCCTTTCTTAGAAGCCTCCTTACCTTTCTAGTAGACCTCATAAACTCTAGTTAAGAGTTAGGAGGATATTGGATGCTGAGAGCAGACTTTAATGAGTGTCAAACGAGAGAACGCTCACGGAACGCCTTATGAAAATCGAGATCGATTTCTCGAATGATATGTTAATCTCGATAACTGAATTTTTTGTCTGAGATCTCGTCCCAGTCCAATATTTAATATAGGTACATGATGGTTTCATCTATACCTTCATGAGAAAGATTTTCGATAAAAGCAGAGAATTGTTTTCCTCTAAAAAGTGATACAAATTGAAATATTGTAACGGGTAATTGATGATTGTTTGATTGTTTTTTCCTGCCAGTTGGATTATCAATAAGTAGAGAAAAAAGAGAATCCAAAACTGAAAAATGTTAAGAATTATTTTTATTTAATTTTCAAATATTCAAGACTCAAATGTACTCAATTGACATATACTAAAGGTCAACAGTACTTGACATGAGTAGCGTAACTTTGTCTATGATCCCTACCTTCATGTCGTGTTTTAAAACGTTTTTAAGGTAAAGCTTGAAGATTAGGGTTGGGGTTTTCAAGTCGGGCCTTCGTTTGAGTCATTTTTTCGGGCCTCATTTTTATCGGGCCGACCCGACCGAGTCTTTTTCGGGCCAAAATTCAAGGCCCGACTCGATCTTTCGGACCGGGCCGGATCGGGCCCCCAACCCTATTGAAGGTACAATCTAGAGCACAATTTTGGCAAAATGGATTTTTATTGTACTAGCAATCCTCGACAAAATTTTTAACATAATTTCCCTCAAAAAATCACCTTTTTCGATCAATTTTGGATAATGATTTCTAACAATAGGTTCACATATCGGTCTCAATTTATCCCTCAATATAGAAGCTGATGCAAGCAAAAATTCATTTTCAGTCTTGCAGGCAGAGAGCCAGCATTGTTGTAATTGGAATTGAAGGCCTAATTGGAGTAAAACATTCTGTGGATTTGGTTGGCATTGAGCTAAAATATCTTGTAGAAGGCCTAACATTGATTCTAATGCAATTGTTTCAACACCCTTAAAAATTTTAAATAAAAAAATTTTTTTGTTGAAATTTGAATAAGAAAAAGGCGAAAATTGGAATTGAAGTGTTTTAGAAGTTAAATCAAAGGGATTTTGGTGACAAAGCCTTTTTTCATAATTTTGATAAATTGCCATTTTCGTCTGAATTCTTGACTTTTACCAAAGATGTGCCGAAACTGATTTTAAAAAGCGGAAGAACCCTGGAATAACCCAATCACTGGAATAACCCAATCACTTCGGATTCTGGTTTCACTGAGTAGAGGAGCTGCCTAAGCAATACCCTTGATTTAAGTTCCTCTTTATTATAAATCTTCTCTTTTAATGAAAGGCCAAAATATTTCGTATCCCATTCACGATAGGTCGGGTCTTCCATGATGTTTAGTCCCTAGACTTGGTAAGGTTGTAATATGTATCCATTTTCCTAATCCGAAAAATTTTAGGGTAGTTAAATTTTTCCCGTACGACTGCGGAAAGTATCTCGTATCAAAAAATTATTTTTTTATTACCTCCATTCTGTAAAGCATTTTAGTCATTGTATATTCAAACGGACTTCCTTGTACTTGACATATAATCTTTATAAAAATAAATTTAATTTTCATTTAAAACCCCCAAAAAACCTCTAAAGGTTGCCTAGCTCCATCCAAATGAATAGCTAAACAAGCATCCATTTGAGCACTTCCTGTAGCTGTAATCATTACCCTTCTTTCACTCTTCTCTTTTGAATTTTTTAAATTCTCCCCATTTTCATTATCCAACATTGTGCTTCCTACAAGCGATTTTCTCCTCTCTTTTAACTTTAAATATTTTTTAAAATTATTTTTATAAAGCCAGAAGCTCCCTGAGGGATACCAACAATAATATCTTCACCTCTATTTAAGAGACGTTTCTAAATTCTAGTTCCACTGGGTAGAGGAGCTGCTTAAGCAATACCCTTCTATTTGAGTTACTCTTTATTTTAAGTCGTCTCTTATAATAAAAGGTATCTAATATTATGGGAGTACCTCTATTTAAGAGACACCTCGATATAAAATATAATTTTTCAAGTGTGGCTTTATACTGAGGTCTGAATATATTTAAAAATGTTTATCTACCTGAGAGGATACAATACAATTTCCTTCATTATTTTGTTCCAATCTTCTGACAGAGCTGGCATAGGAATTATAGGGGGATTGATAGTGTCGAAGGGAGTCGATACCACTGTCATTTTCGGAACTTGAAAAAAATTTTTTTAACAATTTTTACTGTATTTTTATAATTTTTACCAGCCCGGTCTCTAATCATAACTAGTATTACAGATGTCAATGGTTATCCAAAATCCGATACTCGAAGTCCGCCAACCCGAACTATTTTCGATCCGACTTCGATACCCAATCCAAGAAATTTTCTAAACCCCGATCCAACCCCCTAATCGACTTTTTCTCTACCCATGATATGCTTGATTTGTGTATTACACACAAAAACTTTTCAAGAAAACCCTCCAAATTAATTTATTTACATATGATCCAAGACATGTTGTTGATGTCTTTGTTCATATTTAATAGTCGAAGTACCAGCAACACAACCATCATTATCTTCTGTATGGTCAGAAGCTGTAGAAGGGCTGTGTTGTTGTTGTTGACTATTATTATTACCCCTATTTTCATTTGAAAAAAGGGTTGTAGCCGAAGAATGGTTATTAATTAAATTTAAATTTCCAGTAGCTAAGCGATGTTTTTGTTTTTTTAATTGAATTGAATTTTGACGTTTTTTATTATTTTCTGATTTCCCTGTAAAGCTGTCTAGTTGACATAAAATTCCAGAACGGTTAATTTTAAGGCAAGCTTCCCAATTGAGCATTGCTGCTTCAAAAGCGACTAGTTCAGTGAATTCTGAAGGTCTGCAATAGGAGAATTTTATTTTAAAGTCAGACCTCAATATGATATACCCAATATCTTCTGTATGGTAAGAAGCTTTAGAGGGGCTGTGTTGTACCGTTTTTTCTCGAGTACCCTCCCTTTGAATAATTACCTCCTATCAAATAACCCTTCTAGTGAGAAGTTGGGAACAACAATTACTCTCTCCTTAAATTCCCTGCCCAATGTTTAAATTTCAAAACTATAATTCAAAACTAGACTAGAATTAGCCTGGGTAATTATTCAAGAGAATACGGTATATCTCTATTTAAGATACGTTCTCTCCAAACTACTTGGCGGAGGAACCCCTCTGTTTTTTATAAGGTAGTAGTAGTATTCCATGGGTATCTAATAGTGAGTGCTATTAATTTTTAAGAATATTTTTAGTAAAATTTTTTTGTCAAATTTAAGCACCTCAATTTAGCCAAATAAACACGTAAACATTCAATCATATCAAGCAAAGCATCTACTGTTTGAAGTGCACTTTGAAATTCACTTATCTCTTTAGTATAGGAAGAGCAAGTAGTTTGAGATGTAGGGGAATGAAGATCACGACTTTTTGGACTAAAAAGAAAAATTGAACAAATACAACTAATAATGAATTCAAAAATATTGTTAAAAAATTGATATCAAATTTTATTGAAGACTATTAAAATTTTCGTTTTTGGAAACAGGGATAGGCAAATTAATCGAAACCCGGTCTGTTTCGAGCCGAAACCAGATGTCTTTTTCCACACTACAGTTATCCCTGTTTGGAAGAGCCAAGTGTCATTAATAGACCAAGTCATGAATGGACTAAATTAGAAAATGTAGAGAGCCGGTTTCACAATAAGGGCAGGAACATAAATTCACTTGACTAATTTTATGTGGGATTTTTTCAAAAAGTTATTTGAAATTTTTTTCCAAAAAGTCACTCTTTCTGATATAGGTAATGTTTAAAAAACTCACCTGCTTGTCCCCCCTCTACAAAGTCCTTCTTCCCTCTCATTTTCATCAAACTCATCAGGTTCTTCAGGTTCCTCAACCTCTAAACGATATTGACTTTTATTTCTATTCGAACTCTTCAACGAATTGCTGTTCTGTTCAATTTCCATAGATCTACTTGAAGGGATTTGTGCCAAACTGACAGACTTTCTCCAATCCGAAGCTGTTTGTCTGTCCAAAGAGGATTTATCGTGCCCTCCTCTCTTGACAAAAGAAAAAATTCTTTTAGCTCCGCTGCGAGCCCCATGGCCATCAGATACGGAAGAGGAGGAACTTGGACCACAAAAATTATTTTTTGAGTGACCAAGACTGCCACCACATACACTTGAAGGTTTGGAGGAGTGAAGGGCGGAAAGCTGAAAATATTATTTTTAAATATTTAAAGGGTAGCATTTTAGTAGCTTCACCCATCTATTGGACAAACAAAATAGTAAAGAGTACCCCCCTCTTAAATTAAGGTGTTAAAGTATTGGGGTTATCTCTTAAAAGAGGTTGTAGCTATAATGAGCATACATATTAAATTGGGAGTAACACTTGGACAGGACAGTAAGGTTGGCGGATCCAGATACCAGGATACGAAAAAGGCCGGATATCCGGAATGTTTGGGTTCGGATATCGAATCCGGATATACGAAATTTTCGGATCCGAATATCGGATTCGGATATACAGAATTTCGGATTCGGGTATCCGAAGATTTCAAACTATCGCCAAATTTATTAGACAGCTTAACAAGCTATGGGCAACTAAAATTTAAGAAAGCATATTTTAAATAAGGACTCAATATTGTGGGTATTTAAAAATAAGATTCTACAGTTAACTAAAAATGGGGACATAATGCCATCTCAAAAAATTCAAAAAAAAATTTTTAAAGTCAAAATATTCACATCATCAATAGTTGGAATAGACTTGGACAAGTCTTTATAAACTTCATCCAAAAGTGTAGTAGAAGAACACCTCCACCTGTCCTTTTCTGTTTTGCTCGATTCTCTACTAATTCCTCCTCCTCCCCCTCCTAAAGCAGCCCCAACACTTGCACCAAGTTTTAAACGTTGTTCGCGTTGTCGTTTTTTGTCGCGAAGGCAAACTTTAGTTGCAGGTCCGTTTTCTATTGTTCCATTCATTGTAATGGAAGAAGGGGAATGTTCAGAAGGTTGGTGAACATCTAAAGATTATTTTAAAATTAATGCTTTTAAAATTTCAAGTTTACAAGTCTATTGTACTTTTATTTTTAGAAAATACAAATAAGTCTGAAAGTTTGTAATAGGGTTCAACCACCGTCGCCGGGGACAGTGGTTCACCGGGACAGTGGGAGACTCTCCCACAAAGCCACCGTCACCGTCCCCGTCACCGAGTTAAAACCACTGACCCCCGTCCACTTGGCAAAAACCACCGCACCCCCGTCCGCGTGAAAACAGCTATCTGACCGTAAATGCTGAACCCTAATTTGTAATACCGTGAATGCTCGAATAATTACCCTCTCTCAAATAATTACCCTCTTTAATAATTACCCCCTTCCTTTCCTTCTTTAATTTTAAAAATATTGAAAAAATCATTGTCCATTTTGTTTATTGAAACATTATAAGAATCAATATCAAAAAATAAATGGATTTCCTCTTCGATTTATTGAGATATACACCAAATTTAGTCCATCCTCTCGATTAATTACCCCTCCAGCGAGAGGTCGAAACAATAATTACCCAGGGTAATTATTCGAGCATATACGGTATCCAAATTTAAGTTTGTAATTTCATTTTTTAATAATGTGTCTATTGAAAAACTGTTAAATATTTTACCATTTGACTTTCCTCCATTAATTTGTTCGTTATTATTTGTTGTATTAGCCTGATTATTATTGTTATTATTATTGTTGTTTTGCCATACTGTTTTATTATTATTTCCAGCTTGAGAGGGAAAAGCTGAAGGAGAATTACTACTTGTAGTTCTCCAAATACTAACACCATTTTGTTGTGTTTTTTGATTATTATTGTTTACGGATGGTAGGAGAACTTGGGATTGATGTTGGCGAAGTTTACTGTTGATTCCAGAACGTTCTGGAGGCTCTGGCCTAAATAGAAATTTAGTTTACCTCTCTATTTTAGTCTAAAACTAATAGAGCTAGAAGTCAAAAATTTATTCCTCTATGCATAATCTTTTCTAGGGAATAAAGACTTGAAGCATATTTTAAAGGCTTTTTCAAATAAGAGCTAAAGTAAATTTTTATAAACTCTCTAAGGTAAGAAAATGAGCATCTTAAACCCTTCTTTTTCTATTAAAGAGTTGATTGTGTAATCATTAAAATTTTTATGGTAATTCCCCACACTTGAATAGATCCTCACACCTCGTCTCAGAGATGGTTTGAAAAAAGATTACATCCTTGAATAATTCCCAAATTATCCTAGGGATGAAATGAAAGAAAATTTTTCAGGGGAATTAATCAGTAAATATGATAATTCCATCCAATTCTTTCCTACTATTTTCTGGGACAGATTTGCCCACTATAAATTATATTTACTTAAAAAATTTTTTTCAAATCCTCTCTACCTTTGTGCCAACGAATTTTGTTGTGATAAGGAAGCATGATTATTGTTGTTATTAAATCCATTTTCTTTAACTTGAAGTTGTTTTTGATTTAACATATTATTAAATTGTGTAGGCATATTAGAAGAGAGTAGAGGCAACCAGGTCACAACCAATCTCAATTTTAAACTTCCAGAACTATTTAAATTCATCGTGACCAATTGGGGCTGTGCTGCCGCAAACTTAGCAGGGTCAAATTGCCGTTCACTGAGACAGCGAGCTCGAAGGAAGCCAATCTCGAGTACCCGAACCTGTACAGGCACATTCCACAAAACTTGTATGGAGGCTATTGGGGGTTGTAGGTCCCAACGTTGTGATCTGTCTGGCTGCGTTTTTCCGCGAGTTCGCCAACGTTGGTGGCCATGACGAATGCAAACTTCAAAAACGTCTCCAGTACAGATGCGTGCAAAGCCGATTATTGCTATATTAAAAGTTAAATTTAGAAAATATAAACGGACTCCGCTTGCATGAAAATTTCACATTAAGGATATCATAGTTTTTAATCCTACTCCCATTTTTCTCCAATTAATAGTATGAAGGCACCTCAACTTAACGAATCTACATACACGAAGTGTCTAAAATGTTCATTAACTGTTTAAGGTGTTTAGGATACCCAGATCCATCAAGATATCCAGATCCAAAGGTTTGGCGGTTTAAAAAGGTTGGTTGTTCCGGATATCCGGATGAAAAAAATAGTCACAGAGATCCGTAAATTAGCGGTTGGATGTTGAATCTGGAAATCCGAAGATTTTACAGATTCCGATAACCATATGTAGTCTTGGACAGTGGTTTTCCCGTGAATATCTAAGAATTTGACAACGAGAAACAGAATTGTTCGATTTTTTTGATTTCAAGAAAACCCCAATAAAATTTTCAAAAAAAATTTCCAAAAAAACACTCACCCTGAACATGAAACTGAAGCCTTCCCAGCATTCCACACGCCTCAGCTTCAATCGCTCCCATTTCTGCCCTTATAGTTCTAACAGATTCTTTAGGAAGTTCTTCTTGTTCAATTTGTTTGTTGCTAGTCAAATCGAATAAACTTTGACTTTTTTGGGGTTTTCCAGTGAAAAATGGTTTGTCTGTATTTAAATTTTTTTTAAAAATTGGTAAAAAAATTACAAAATTTTTTTTTATTTTAAAAAATAAGAGTGTGAAGACTTCAAAACCTTTTTTTATTTTTACAATTGCTCTATTGTATTAATTTTAAGTTTAGAAGTGAGAGAAAACTTTTTTTTTGTTAAGAGTAAAAAATGTCGACGTATTTAACAATAATAAACGATGGGAATACTTTTTGGAAGTAAACAAAATAAAAAAATTTTTATTTATACAAAAAAATTTAGAAAATAATACTAATAGAGCAAAAAATTAATCGTTGGCTTTTCTCTTAATTTTGAAAATTTGGGGAAAATGTTATTGACAGACGGGCATTATCAAACTAGGTACTTGCTAGAAAAACTATTCAATAGGCATAGGTTCCGAAAAACAATGACAACTTCATCCGCAAATTTTATTTCGTCTTACTTAATACTAGAGTTGAGCGGGATCGGATCAGGTAAATCGGGATTCAAAAGAAACCAGGATCTCTACTTAATACCCAACTCTACTTAATACTGTTGGCCCTCAGTTTAATTACACCCTTAGGTAATAAGTAGAGTTGGCCGGGATCGGGATCCCGGTCGGGATCGGGCGGGATTATCCCGGGTTTTTCAAATCCCGATCCCGATTTTTCTGATCCCGGTCCCGAAATATATATCCCGATCCCGGCCATTTTTAATCCCGAGCCGGGATCCGGGATCGGGATCGGGATGTGCATCAGATCCCGATGCAAATCCCGATTTTATAAATTGACTAGAAGTTTGTGGAAATAAAGTTAACTGAAGAGAGGAGGCATGAAATTAAGAAAAATTTTCGCCTGCGGCGCAGAAAATGGAAGAAATTTGGCATCCTGACATCCAAAATTCTCAAAATTTTCGCCTGCGGCGCAGAAAAGGAGCAAATTTAAGCAAAGCTGTCTTTAAAACTTTGACAAAATATTGAGTGATTTGGTGTGATATCGAGCGATCAAGAGGGGTTGAGGGGAGTATAGGTGGATTTGGAGTATAGAAGGATATCGTGGATTTGCAGTAATTAAGTTAGATTTGAAGAGAATCGAGGGTTTACGAGGGACATGAATATATCACTTAATCCCTCAATCTCAGTTCTTAATCATCCACATTTGAACGTAACGCACTTAAATGTATAGACTTGAACGTTTAGACTTAAATGCCCTTGGCCTCCAAAATTAAAAATTATTGCCTGCGGCGCTTAAAAGGGAGGAAATCTGGCACCTTGGCCTTCAAAATTTTTCAAATTTTGGAAGGCCAAGGTGCCAAACTTTTCAAAAGGTGCAAATTTTTTAAAAATCAAAAGCCCAATCCCATTTATCCTCCCCCCCATTACCTTATCCCCCCTTAATACCCTGAACCGGAAAGTAAATCATGCGTCTATGAGACTTTAACTCAATATTTCAGCACCGCAGTGGAAATTTTAGAATTATATTGAGTCGTTTGTGAAGAAAATAAAAATTTAAAAGTTTAAAAAAAAATTTTTTAGTAAATCCCGATCCCGAGTTTTCAATCCCGGTCCCGATTCGGGATCGGGACCGGGATCGGGATCTCCAGTCCAAATCCCGATCCCGATTTTGGCCAATCCCGATCCCGTGTCGGGATCCGGGATCGGGATCACCATTCCTAAATCCCGATCCCGGGTTTTTCTCGAAATCCCGATACCGGCCAACTCTAGTAATAAGAGGTATCTTATTAGGGTTGTCTATAATTAGACAATTCATCAATGTGCCCTACCAAGCTCTATCTTAAAAATTTAGCACTAATTGTGGAGGCTATTTAGTTAAGCTACCCCCTCAGTCATCATCCACCGGTTCACTAAAAATATACTATGGAGATCCCTAATTTAAAAATTTTTTTATGAAAAATTTCTCTACAGTATATTCTTAGGGAACCGTTGGATGATGACTGAGGGGTATCTTAAATAAATAGGCTCCAAAATTGGTGCTTAATTTTAAATTTCGAATTAATTGATTCGCTCTAGACAGCCTCTTTCCTCTACTAATATCTTTCAAACGACTCACCAAAATTTTCAAAATTATTTTTCCCACAAATTCCAATTTTGTGTATTTCACTAGTAGAGGAAGCAAATTGTTGTTTTGAATAAAATTTTTGTCTTTGGGGTGATGGACATTTACAAAAACGTGAAAGGGAAAAAAGCTTGAATGTATTAGATAGGCGAGAGGAGGAATTTGTATTTAAATTGGTGTTGTTAATAAATTCTGTTGATTTTGTTGGGACTAGAAAAAAATGAAAAAATAATGGAATGTAAAGGAATTTAAACAATTTTAAAGTTAAACGTGGAAAATTATATTTACATTTTTTTGAATAAATTGATTATAACCTTATTTTTATTAAAATAATTTTAGGGAGAAAATGGAAGGGGTGTCTTTTCAGGGTAAGGGGAAACGAGTCTCGAGTTGTGAAATTTTTTTCTATATCTTGAGAATAAATAGCTTATTGCAGTATCTCAATCGTAGAAGAAAAACTAGAATGGAAGATGATTAATATAATGAACTTAATATAAACAAAAAAATTCAATACAGTTAAATCTCGATCAGGGGTGGGCGCAAGAGGCAATCGTGAAAAACGCAAAACGCAAAACGCAACGCAAGGCCAAAAATCAACGCAAAACGCAAAAAACGCAAAACGCAAAACGCAAGAACGCAAAATTCTGAAAAAAATTTTTAAATCGAGTATTAGCCATTTTTCAGTTAAAATAGAAGTATTACTATAAGTCAGCGAGTCCTAGTTGATCTTGTGATACAATTAAGTTGGATGGGTAATGATTTGAAGGGGATACAATGGGATTATGAAGGATATTAGAGGATTTAGAGCGATTATGAAGGAGAGATCGAGGAAAATTGGAGGGATCAAGGAAATTTAAAAAGATACCATGCGATTACTGATGAATGTCGGATGGGTTGGGGAGATAGGAGGATAAATGCCTCTCTGTAATTCTCAATTGATACCGCGGATATCAGCGGATTTGGAGGGATAAAGGGAGATCGGAGCTCAAGATATTGAACTGATATTTTTCTGACAGTTCCATGATCTACTTTTAGCGCCGCAGGCGAAAATTTTGAAAAATTTGGGACCAAGAAGCCAAATTTCTTCCTTTTTTAAGCGCCGCAGGCGAAAATTTTGAGAATTTTGGAAAGTCATAAGTCTGATTTCCTTCAGATTTTGCCCTCAGATTGGGTATATTTCTTGCGATTTTTTGCGTTAATTTTGGCCAAATTTACGCAAAACGCAAAACGCAACGCAAGGCCAAAAATCAACGCAAAACGCAAAAAACGCAAAACGCAAAACGCAATGCGCCCACCCCTGATCTCGATCAGGGGCTAGTACCTTCGACCTCTCCAAATCATCAAAAATGAACATCGAAGTGGCATGTAAAAAAATGAGAAAAGGGTGAAGAATAAAGAAGGGGAAAATTTAAAAATAATGAAAATAATGATCATCTTTTACAAAAAAAAAAGGTGAAAAGAGGCTAGCTACCCTGATCTCAATAGCACGTTTAGTCGGGATCGGATTTTGTAACATAAAGAAACGGATTTATTGGACAATGTTTAATCGAGACTTGATTATTATATCTCAAATCGTATAAATAAACTTAAATGTCAAAAAAGAATAAAGCTAATGCCAATCTACCTAAACTTGAGAATCGTTTGATGTAAGGAAATAAAACATGGGAGATACATAAATTAAGGAGAGCCTTCTAATTAGAATAAAATAAAAAATCTACATATCGATATCTCAAAATTGTACTTTTAAAATCATTTTCCCAAAAAGTATATTTTGTCAGCATAAAAATTTTTTATTGCCCCGTTAATTTTGAATAGCGCATCATCAAAGAGAAAAAATCACCCATTAAACATAACATTGAAAATAATAAAAGTAAAAAAAAGTGAAGGAAGTTGCCGTCTTTTTATTTTATTATTTTATTTATTTATTGGTTGTTTAATATTTATTAATTTATTTATTTAAATAAAATAAATTTTATCAAAATTTGATAAGAATTTATATTTTCTTATATTTTAATTTAATTTGTGGCATTTTGTCGTATTTACAACGGTGTGACATTTTGTCACAATCTTAAAACTTGAGAGGGAGGGGGATTTAAAGGGATAAAACATAGGAGATACATTAGTTAAAGAGAGTCTTTTAATTAGAATACAATAAAGAATTGAAAATAAAATTAAAAAAAAAATTTTTTTCAAGGGAATATGAAGGATGATGATGAAGAGTTGATTGGAAATTTCAAAAAAAAAATTTAAAAATGGATGTTAAATTAGAAAGAGTACATATATTAAATTAGGTACTAGAGATCGAGCTGGGTCTGGACTTGGCTTTTCCTGCACCTAGAGTCTAGGCCTAAGCATTTTTTGTCCTTCCTGGGTTTTCTTGGACTACATACAGGCCCAGGATCAGGTCTAGGACAATAAATCAAACCCAGGAACAGGCCTAGGTTTTTCAAAAATCTCGATCTTTATTAGTTACCTAATTAGATTATAGAGGTGGATTGAATTAAATTTAATTAAATTTTTTAAATTTTTTAAAAAGAGAATTAATTAAAATTTATTTATTTTTAAGTAGTTGACTCAAGAATTTAAAAAATTCAAAACAAATAAAATTGCGAAAATATTTTTTAAATTAATTTTTATTAAATTTAAAGAGAGTCTTTTTAATTTAAAAAGGGTACTTGAAGAATTTCTCTCTCTCACAAAAAAATTTATTTTTTTACTCAAAACAATTGGGCAACAACCCCCACTTAATTAAAAAATTGTAATAATTTTTAAGATTTTCAAGGTGCGCATTAACAAAAAAGAAAAGGAAAAAAAAGTAAAAAAATAATAATGACACACAACTAGGCAATGGGGCCGACAATGCCCACAGACTATACAATAAAATATACAATAACTATAAATATGTATTTTTGTGGACGAAAAGAAAAAACCATTAAATAAAATTAAGGGGAGATTCGGCGCAGGGATGTTACGGCGCGCGCGTAAATAGAAAATTTAGGGGTGAACCTAAAAATGCGAAATTTTGTAGGTTGATAGACAATAATGTTTCCTAGGTCTGTTGTAAATTTCAAAATTTTCGGTTTTGTATTTCCAAAGTTATGGAGAAAAGGTAAAAGGTCGTGGACGACGATACACCTTTGTTCATAAAATAAGCGTAAAAATGGAATAGGGTAACCAAAAATGTGAAATTTTGTAGAAATGTGGTCAATAATGTTTCCTAGTTTGGCTATAAATTTCAGAATTTTTGGTCTTGTATTTCGAAAGTTATAGTGAAAAAGCGAATTGGTGTAGGCGACAATACGCCTTTATTCATAAAAAAATCAAGGGGCACCCTAAAAATTTAAAATTTTGTAGAAATATACTCGATAGTGTTAACTAGTTTTTCTATAACTTTCAGAAAATTAAGCCTAGTATTTCAAAAGTTATACATAACAAAAAAATCCGACTACACCACGCTTGCGGACTTCCCCGTTACGGCCTACTCTCTTGCGCCAAAACAACCCTACTTCCTCCCTCAACAATAACAATAGCGTTATAGCGTTGCGATTGTTTTGTTTGAATATAAGCAAAGTAAAAAGAAAAAAAATTTTTAGGTTTTTTGTTTGTTTGTGAATATAAAAATATAAATAAAATGTACAACAATAGTAACGGTTGGACAATAAAAATGTAAAAACATCGATTGACATTGAAAATGTATTAGGTTGGTGGGTTGGTGATTTGGCCGATCAATTTATGCAAATTTAGTAGAAAAATTGTAAAACATGGGAGAGACATTTTTAAAAACATTAAAGATGAAAGGATAAAATAGGGGAAGGAAATTTGAATGAGTGATCGGTCGGTCTGGGGATTTTATTTATCCAAGTGACAATACGCGAGTATGTATGAGGCAATGCAAGCTGGGGCAATGCTTTATGAAGCAATGGGAATCAACCTTGTGCTATTAAATAAGCACAAGGTTGATTCGGACGTTTTACTCCTTTTTCCGGGGTTTTTCGCAGTTTTTGACTAATTTTAAATTTAGTTAGAAAACTAAATGGCTAGATTTTATCTTTTAATTACACAGTTTGGGACGAAAAAGGTGTTTAAAATCGAGGGTGTATTTAAATTTGATGGTTAAAATAAGAGAGTGAACTAAATTGAAGAGGAACAAATTGAATCTAAAATTCAGGGTGTACCTAATTAGGGTGTATGTAAAAATCAAGACTCTTAACAAGTCCTTTCTCGCATAAGAAATCTCATTTCTAATCAAACTGGCAAATTTTCAGTCATTTTTAATCAAATTTGCCTAGCGAAATCGAACCAAGAATGGGTTGGGTTACCCAAAACCCGAAGTTTTTCTCAACTCAACCCATCCCTAATTCAAACCTCTCTTGACTAAGAAAAATGGATGAGAACTGATTCACTATTTCCTAACTGGCCCAGATTGCAAGTTCTTTTAAAGCCTTTGTAATTTTTAATAATTCCCAAACCAAAAAAGGTCATTTTTTCAATTTTGAAAAAATGATTTAAAAGAAAATTTAATTAACAAAATTACCTAACACCGGAACTAGCCTCCTTTAAACAGAAAAATTTTCCTTAAAATAGAAAAGTGTTTAAGGATGATGATGATTTTCTTACATTTAATTCCCCTCTTCCCTATTTTTTCTTTTATTTAATCATTTTTATCAGTAAAAATGAAAATAAAATTTTTTAATTAAAAAAAGGAAGCATTCCAAAGAGATTACACAACGAAAAATTTAATAGGAAAAATTGAAAAAATAAAATAAAATCAGGTGAGATACACAGGTCCGGCAATTTAAAAAAATATAAAAAAATAAATAATTATTTTGAATTAATTAAGAATAAATTTGACTAACAATGTTAATGAGATTAATGAATTTCTATCTAAGAAGAATGAGGAAGAACTGATTAATTGAAAAAAGGAGGCTGAGATGTATGAGATTTTTAAGATTAGCTAGACAGTGCTACTGCAAACACAAATATTTTTTTAGTCGAACCAAACATTTCTTAGTTAGATTATTGTGTGTTCCAGGGATATGCCGAAACAGATTTTAAAAAGCGAAAGGCGGAAGACGAAATGGCGGTTTTAACGGCGGTTTTAACAGGTATCATAACGATAATTAGGTGACAATGGTAGGTAACCATCGTCAGGTGATCGAGTTCTTATGATGCGGCTCCTGGTGTGTTCGTCCAATTACTGAAACCGGAACCAAGGAAAAGACTGATTTTTAGGAAGCGGAAGAACACTACGTGTTTAAAATATAAATAAGCAATTAAAAATCAAAGGAATTTCAATGAAGTAAATCACGGCTGAATGACAGTTCATTTTTCTCAAAATAATTGTCCTTATTAGCTAAACATTCTAAGAATTTACAATTAAATTTTAAAGGTACATGAATCTGACAACCTTCAATAAGCTTAATTTTACTATAAAAGCCCTGTTGTTCGTTTCATTCTTCCCTCCAAACACAACAAAATCTTCAATCACTTCAACTCTACGTCAACACCGTCCAAACAAACAACAAAACAACAACGCTTCATGCTCTTCTGCCTCCTTCGTCCAATGGACCACAACACCGGACCTTTGGCAAGGAAGTCGACAACGCTTTGTGCTCTGCTGCTGATATCCATCGCCACGCTCCTAGTGCTTGCAGTTCCTGGACAGGCCACCGTTGAGGAAGTCGGAGTCGCCAATCACACCTTGAAGGAAGATGGAGTGACGCTCAAAGTAGGCAGTAAGCAGGCCAGCAAGGACTTGAAGTATGCCGTGTACAAGAAGCAATTTTCTACTGTCTGTAATTTCTCAATCACTGACGACAATATGTAAGTTGATTCTATTTTAAGATATGAGGAAAAGACGTTTTAAACTTTCCAGTAAGCTTCTATACGAAGGCGAGGGGTGCACTGTGGAGCTGATCACCGATGGGAGGAGCATGATCAATTTCACAACTGGAATGGAAGACAGTAAATGTAGTAAACTGGAAGACTGCAACACTGGCGATTTTCGGGATGGTTTTTCAAATCTGTAAGTCATAAGATCCGATTAGGACAGTATAGTAAACAAATTTCTTTATAGACTACCCTTCGCCTACAGCAGAACCAATAAGGAACTCGAAAAGCTCAACGAGAGTCCGCTGTATGATGATCTTGTTGTGTGTGGTGAAAAAAACAAGTGCGAGAAAGAAAATCAAAAGTGCATGAAGCATACATTTCTTGAAGTCTCATGGAGTGGATGCAACGAGGACAATATTTATCATGTATACGCTCACACTCATCTAAGTAAGATCAAGATTATTTTTAGTTTAAAAATATTCATTTTAGTTGGTGAAGCGGAGAAAGGCTTGGATCAAAAAAGACGAGGTGGTGATAAGATGGAATTCAATCTGCGCATAGCTGATGATAGCAGCTTCACAATGGATTTTGAGAAACCTGCAAAATTTGACACCAAAGTAGAGTCGATTAGCTGCGTTCCAAAAGGAAGTGCCATTGTCAGACCAGAAAAATGGAAAATCAAAAAGGGAGTTGGAGACCTGGAGGGTAAACATCTGCTCGTCTTTCATCTACTTCCGAAAACGGCTACACGAACATACAAAAAGAACAAGTTTGAAGGAAAACCTGCGAAACAAAAACCGAAATGTGATCTCTTCATTAGCTTTGTAAGCTTTTCATTTTTTACAAAAATTCAACTAATTTTTATTTTTTAGAAAAGAGGACTCTACGAATTTCTTCAAGTCGACCCTCCAACAACGACTACAAGCACAACTACAACAACAACCAAACCAAAACCAGGTACCAAACCACAACCACCACTACCACCTGGAAAAACAGCTCCAACGCCACAAAAGGTGGACGGAACTACAACAAACGTGCAAGGAGTTCAAGGAGTACAGGGCACCGAAGGAGGAAGCAGTATCGTGATTTGGATAGCTGTGATTTCTGTGGTGGTGATTGCTGTAATTGGCCTCAGTGTCGTCGTCTTCTGCTGTTACCGGAAACATAAAAAACAACAAAAAGAAGAGAAAGAAGAGCGGGAAGAAAAGGTACTTTCAAATTACTTATAAATTAATCAAACATTTTTTTTTACTTTCAGAACTTCTGGGCCAACCTTGGAAACGACACGGAGATTGCTGAACAAAACATTAAACGCTCTGCCGCAGAAAAGCCTTCCTTGGAAACAGAATTCGTCGGGGAGATTTTCGACAGGATGAAAAAGGAGGATACGGACAACGCCTTAAAAAGCGAAAAAATTCTCTACAAATTGTATCTGCCGGCATTGGAGGAAAGAGGCTTCGATGCAACTGGAACTTTCCGAGAGTGGAGGAAGAAGGTGAATTGACAAATACATGGAGAAGATCTATTTTTCTTTCATTTTCAGAGTGGAATGATCCCGGAAAAAGGCGAGACTTTGGAAGACTTCAACGGCAGAGTCGAAAAGGCGATTGCGAAAAGGGACGATAAGAGCAAAGTCAGCGGAGGCAAGAAGAAGAAGGGCGGCAAAGTGAAGCGGATTTGAAGCTATAATAAGAATGAAACTAGAAGTTGAGAAGATAAAAATGGAGATAAATATAGAGAATATAAATTGCAAATAATTTGTAAATCATTCATTCTTTATCTAATTATTTTCCCAATATTCTCCAAATCTCTCAACATGTATTTTTCTCTAAATGCTAAATTTCCCTATATTCCCCCTATATATTTACAGGTTGATTGTTGTATTCCCTGCTATATTTCATTATATATTTATTGTATGTATAGTTGTATTTCGTGTAATAAATGTATTGAAATATGTATAAAAACAATTTTTTATTAGGGGGCTGGATATATGTATTTAAATTTTATGATAAAAATAGGATTGGCAGATCCTTGGAAATCTTCGATATCCGGATCTAAAAAACGAGGGAAGGTCAAATGGAAACAAAACTAAGCTTTAGTTCAAAAAAAGTATACATAGAGGAATGGAAAAAATTAGTGCGAGACGTTTGAACAACCGAAAATATTTTTTCCTAGAATTTTTCTGTTTATTTATTCTGTTTTTTATTCTGTTTTTTCTTCTGTTTTTTATTCTGTTTTTATTTCTGATTTTTTCTTCTGTTTTTTTATTCTGATTTTTTTATTCTGATTTTTTTATTCTGATTTTTATTTCTGATTTTTTCTTCTGTTTTTTTTTATTCTGATTTTTATTCTGATTTTTTTATTATGATTTTTTTATTCTGATTTTTTTTATTCTGATTTTTTTATTCTGATTTTTTTATTCTGATTTTTTTTATTCTGATTTTTTTATTCTGATTTTTATTCTGATTTTTATTTCTGATTTTTTTCTTCCGTTTTTTTATTCTGTTTTTATTTCTGATTTTTTCTTCTTTTTTTTTATTCTGATTTTTATTCTGATTTTTTTATTCTGATTTTTTTATTCTGATTTTTTTTATTCTGATTTTTTTATTCTGATTTTTTTATTCTGATTTTTTTATTCTGATTTTTATTCTGATTTTTATTTCTGATTTTTTCTTCTGTTTTTTTTATTCTGATTTTTATTCTGATTTTTTTATTCTGATTTTTATTTCTGATTTTTTCTTCTGTTTTTTTTATTCTGATTTTTATTCTGATTTTTTTATTCTGATTTTTATTTCTGATTTTTTCTTCTGTTTTTTTTATTCTGATTTTTATTCTGATTTTTTTATTATGATTTTTTTATTCTGATTTTTTTTATTCTGATTTTTTTATTCTGATTTTTTTATTCTGATTTTTTTATTCTGATTTTTATTCTGATTTTTATTTCTGATTTTTTTCTTCCGTTTTTTTATTCTGTTTTTATTTCTGATTTTTTCTTCTTTTTTTTTATTCTGATTTTTATTCTGATTTTTTTATTCTGATTTTTTTATTCTGATTTTTATTTCTGATTTTTATTTCTGATTTTTTATTCTGATTTTTATTTCTGATTTTTTCTTCTGTTTTTTTTATTCTGATTTTTATTCTGATTTTTTTATTCTGATTTTTATTTCTGATTTTTTCTTCTGTTTTTTTTATTCTGATTTTTATTCTGATTTTTTTATTCTGATTTTTATTTCTGATTTTTTCTTCTGTTTTTTTTATTCTGATTTTTATTCTGATTTTTTTATTATGATTTTTTTATTCTGATTTTTTTTATTCTGATTTTTTTATTCTGATTTTTTTTATTCTGATTTTTTTATTCTGATTTTTATTCTGATTTTTATTTCTGATTTTTTTCTTCCGTTTTTTTATTCTGTTTTTATTTCTGATTTTTTCTTCTGTTTTTTATTCTGTTTTTATTTCTGATTTTTTCTTCTTTTTTTTTATTCTGATTTTTATTCTGATTTTTTTATTCTGATTTTTTTATTCTGATTTTTATTTCTGATTTTTATTTCTGATTTTTTATTCTGATTTTTATTTCTGATTTTTTTATTCTGTTTTTTATTCTTATTTTTATTCTGATTTTTATTTCTGATTATATTCTGATTATATTTATTTTTAAATTTAAATACCGTATTTCCTAAAATAGTACTCCCGGGAGTACTATTTTTCAACCCTCCTCCAAAGGGGAGTACTATTTAAGGGGGGAGTACTAATTCAGGGGGGAGTATTATTTTTCAACCTACCTCCATGATTTATCTTAGGAAAATTTGTCTCAAAAGTTTAAATGTTTAAATCAATTAGAGTTCGTAATTTGAAAAATGCCGGATCCAAATTTGGATTTTCAAGAAATGTGGATTCCAAATTAGTATAAAATTGAGCAACTTGCGAGACTTTTAAACACAAGTGACTTAAAATAGGGTTATTGAGGGAAAGCAAAAAGGATATTAGTGGATTTGGAGTGATATCCAGGGGTATAATGGGATTTTAAGCGATTAAGAGATATCGATAGATTAAGTTGGATGTCGAAAAAATTATCAGGATTGAGAAGGATATTGACGTTTTAGCGGATTAGTAGGGATGCCAGGTAATTTTTGATTAAAAGCGATATCGTGAGATTTGAGGGGATAAAGTTGATATTAAAATATAATAAAATGATTATCAATAATAATAAAATGATATTAATAAAATGATTATCAATTAATTTTTTGGGATATAGTGGAAATATCTCTGTCTAGGAATTTATCAGGGGGTTAACTAGTCTCGTGTGTATCCCTCTATTAACTAATCTCATAGGGTTAACTAATCTTGTGTGTATTCCCCTCAAATCCCTTCATCAAACCTTAATCCAATGATATCTTTTAAATCCTACTTGATCAATCCAGAACCCATTTTATCATCAGATATCAATCCCTTTATATCCCCCAAAATCCACTTTTACCCCACCAATTAACCGGATTGTATTTCTTTAATCTCCGAAAAATTTTAGGTTAAAATTTCAGTTCGTTTTCGGTTAACCGAAGGCTTTCCGGTTTTGTTTATCGGAGAATCAAGTGAAACCGACAACGCTACTTAGAATAAATAAAATAATTCAATGAGTCTCTTTTTATTTTTTCAAATATAGGAGAAAAATTTTTAGGGGGGAGTGCTATTTTAGGGGGAGTACTAATTCAGGGGGGAGTACTATTTTTCAACCCTCCTCTAAAGGGGAGTACTATTTAAGGGGGGAGTGCTAATTCAGGGGGGAGTACTATTTCAGGAAATACGGTATGTTAGTCAATGAATTTAGAGTTTATAGGTACATATAAACTAACATTAAAAAGACATTTTTATGATTAAAAATAAAAAAAAATTTATCAGAATAAACAGGACTTTATTGTTGCTGTTTTAAATATTTTATCAATTTAAGGGTGTCTGAATATACAGTTTTAAGCTTACGAATGAGCATTTAACTGTATATTTGAATTTTTTACCCCTAAAATATGCGTACCCCCCTTATGGTTTTTGACCATTTCGAGCCCACATCTCGATCCTAAGACATACCCGGGAAAAAAGAGTGGTACAGTTCGACTCAACACCTTTTATTTCCTAGATATGACATTAAGAACATTAATTTAGAGGGATGTGGCATAACGGAAAAGTACCAAAAATTTTTTTATGAAAGTTGAAAGAAGAAAACTTTGAAAAATTGAAGAAAAATTGCAAAATATTAATGACTTTTTGCTAAATTTTCGGGTCGGAACTGAGAAGAAAATCCCTCCCGTTCGACATGTTGAAAAATCCTGTTAACTGGATTTTGGGAGTGCGATTTTGCCGTACCTATTTGCAAACTTTCATACTGAAGTCCCGCGGACACCCCAGGCACTCTCCTTTGTAAGGTGAATTCAATTTGGGAAAAAATATATTGTAATTTGTGGTCAGATTGTATAGTCAAATTGAAAAAACACTAAAATGTTTTTCTAATATCCAATGTTAAACTTAATTTGTTAACTTAGTAATTTATTTTATCTTTTTACATTATTAAATTTAAATTCTGATTTAAAACTTTCAATTCGTCATTTGACGAGGAAAATTAAGAAGGAGAGGGAAAGGCAGAAAAAAAGCATTTTTGCAGAATGCCTTTTGCGGACATGCGGGACACGAGCTGGACATCTACCCTAATGGGGATATCAAGAATATGGGAAGATATCAAGGTTAAGTTAGATATCGAGTGATTAAAATGGTTAAGTTGAACTGGAGCAGATATGCAGGGATTTGAGATTAAGATGGATATAAACAGATTAAGAGAATTTGGTGTCATATCGAATAACTCATGTTGTCCTTTAAATCCCCTATCAAAGATTCAAAATACAGTTCCCGGCAGGAAAATGTTTTTGCTGAATGCTAACCAACAAAAAATTTAAAAAATGGATATAAACATCTATTTCCAACAAAAAATTATGTTTTGCATTAATTTAATAAATTCTATTAAAATTTCCACGTAAAAAATTTTAGGTGGGCTTATATTAAAAGTGGGCTTATATTAGAGTATTTACGGTATTTTTTATTCAAACCACACATTCCTTAGTTAGATTATTTTGTGTGTTCGTCCAATTACTGAAACGGAACATGGAAATGTTTGATTTTTAGGGTAACCGGGGGCCTATTTCAATTGTCCACAGATTCTGCATTCTGTGCACAGAACACAGATTCT